TCAAAGCCTGGAAAGACAGTGTACACAAGTCGATCCAAACGCCTCTGTTCTGGGATTCACCTTTGGCTGTCCTGACACAGCCAGGCTCTTCTCCTGGCCAGCGTGCTCCTCTGGTCGGAGTCATCCAGCACTGAGCCTTGGCCAAGGAGCTGTCCCTGCATCTGGGCGAGGCGGCCGCGAAGACCCAGGCCCCCGCCGCGGGTGAGAGCTGCTCGCCACACCCGGTGCGGGACAGGGAAGCCGTGAGCACGCGGAGTGGCCAGGAGGCGCGGAGAGCCTGCCCGACACCACGGGGGCCCCGACTCCTTATCTCTCAAGGGACGGGGTTGAACAACCTCTAGGATCCTTGACACACCTGGGCCAAACGGACAGGCGTGATCGGATTCTCATAGACTCGGTGAAATTTCCCTTGGTTCCATCTGGTGGCGTTTTCTCCTCTCAGGTTAAGAATAAAGGACTGACAAGGACGAGCTTCTGCAGAAACGGGACACAAAGGGCAAACGCGCTGCACCTTGGCCTTCTCTCTTCTGTGTCAGGACGTCACATTTTCATCCCCGCGTGGGCCGCGGCCTGACGCCTGGGCCGCTGGGTGTGAGCTCGGCAGCCATCGCCGTGGGGCGCGGGCCGGAGAAAGGCGGACTGTGCGCGCCAGCTCCTGGGCTGCTCCTGCCTCGGGGCTTGGCCGACAGGTGTCTGGAGGTGGGAAGCAATCACCGATGACACAGAGAGGTAAACACAACCAGTATTTTAAAGGTCGCCGTTTAGAGATTAAAAAGTGCGAAGAAAACAAGTGTATCTATTCAGAATCAGAATGTTCCCCCACGGGCTGGCCTGGATGGCCCTTGGGGACGCCAGGCGGCGGGCATGGCCCAAAGCCCGGACGCCCCAGCCTGGATTTCTGCTCCCGCCTCTCCCCACAGCGGTCAGACAGTGTGTCCCACGTCAACAAGCGAGCAGCACAGAGGCGGTGAGACGGCTCCCTTCGCACCTGCCCCCAGCACTCGTGAACGGGCCGCTACCCAGAGCCAGCTGGGGGGGGGGGGGCATAAAACCAAACACCTGCTTCGCGCGCTGGCCTCCGAGCGGCAGTTCGCTAGCAGCCCAGGTCCTGACACGCAGGTCGCCCCCGATAACACAGCGAACCGCCGGAGAGCGCACGGAAGGGCCTGACTCTCTTCCAGGCTAATGCCAGGCGGCTCCGAGCTGGGCCGGGGGCTGTCCACCCTCCCAAACGCCGAGCGCGCTGGCCTCAACCTGGAGACCCAGAGGCCCGTGCTTCGAACCGCAATCTTTCTCTTTTTTCCCCCCAGGTGGACTTGTCCTCTCGTTAGATAATTAAGCCCAAAAGGATCTAGTCAGAGAGGGACCTAGGGACTGGCACAGGGAGATTAATGTGGCTTCAAGCACACTAAGGGAGGAAGAGCAGAAAAGCCCCCTGGGGGAGGACGAGGCAACCAGACACCCCTCCCCAGACAGCCTCAGCCCCCCCCAGGGGCAGGTGGTTGCGGGGAGGGCCTAGGGAGGCGGTGGCATGGCCCAGGGCCAGGAGCCCAGGCCACCCACAGAGCTGGGACCACGGGGACAAGTCTGCAGGAGCTGGCACCCTGGAGGGAGGGGCAGAGGGAGAGATGCTCCCGCTCCCGGCCGGCCCGCCCCCATACCCCAGCGTCCAGGTCAGAAACCAGAAGCTGAGGAGTCCCCACAACGCAGAGCAGAGCAGAGGCGGGGAAGGTTGCTGAGGAGGAACAGGCGGTTGGCGTCACGACGACCCATACACCCTGAGGGCAGCGCCGCCCGTGAGGGCTCCTGACCTGGGAGCTTTGATGTCAGAGACCAAACGCTCTTGAGGATGGTGGCAGGAACCCAGCATCTGCACCTCAGCAAAGGAGGGAAATCTGTCCTTCCTGGAGTTTTCTGCCTTATGCTACCCCCTCAGCCCACCCGAGCTTCACTCGGTTGCTTGGAGAGCTCGCGGAGCCCTGCCAGGTTTCACTTAATGGGTCAGAATCCGCAGAGGACGGCATGGTCTGCACCCTCCCCATGGCTGCCGTGGACCCCGTGCCGGGCCGGCCGAGCCAACCCGAGCAAGGAAGCGGGGGGCAGGGCTGGGCCCAGAGGAGCAAGCACCTGTGAGGGATGTGGGGTCCGCGTGGCAGCCAGTGGCACTGCTTCTGGGCTCGGGGCCCCAGTGGGGCAGCACAGAGGGGTAGGGCAGACACCCCGGGGCCGGAGCACCACACCTCACCACAAGGACGGGGACGTCTCCCTGCAGCTGTCAGTCACCTGAGCGGGACGCAGCAGAGCTCAGAGGAGGCAGCTCTGCCCTGGCAGGGACCTCGCAGCAGCCGAAGCTGCGGTCCACGCACAGGCAGCCGGCGCAGACCCTACGGAGAGGGGACCACGCAGCAACCTGGAAATGAGGCGGAGGAGGCCAGCTAAGAAAGGCCCCGCGTACCTGTGAAGCCAAGACCCCCCAATTCATGAGAAACGGTTCATGTTCAAAATGAGGAAAAGCTCAGGAGGAGAGAGAGAGCAGGTGCTCAGGCACGAAGCTGAGAACGCGTGAAGATTCAGGGCAGGACCCGCCATTCGGCTGAGGTCCTGCTCAGTCAGAAGCACACCAGGAAACGAGGTGCAAGGGAGGTGATGGGGGGGGCACCAAGGGAGGCAACAGGGGGAGCAAGGGAGGTGATGGGGAGAGCACCAAAGGAGGTGATGGGGAACAGGGGGGATGGGGGAGCACAAAGGGAGGTTATGGAGGGGGCACCAAGGGAGGTGATGGGGAGAGCACCAAGAGACGTTATGGGGGAGCCAAGGGACATTATAGTGAGAGCAGCACCAAAGCAGCTGAGACTCACAGGCAGGTTTCCCGTTAGGGCTCCACAGACCCCTTGATACAAACTTTGCTTCTCTTTGACCCCAGGTCACCACCCCGGGTCTGCTCTAGGAAAATGGTACAGGACAGGGCACACTCACGCACATGAGTGCACGTTTGTGAATGGAGCCATGTGTCTAATAAAGTCTTCTGAAATTTGGAATTGCTGCCCATCGGTGATTTACTGTTAAGCACTTCTCCCTGGGATCTCACATTTCTAAAAATACTATTTGCTTTTTATTTAACACTGAACCTTCTGATGTTCCAGAATACAAAAATGGTGTCTTATTATTTTAAAAGCTTAGGAGAGAAACTAGCCATATTATTAGAAAAAGAAGATATATGCAGCTATAGTCTGTTCAAATATCAAGAGGTGTGACTTTTCAAATTCACATTTCAATCTTTATTTACATAAGACTTTTAGAAACAGTGGGTGTAAATATTAAATCACTCAAGCCTGGGTGAAATTTTATTGAGAATAACTACAGATAAAGGGAAACTGATTTTTTAAAGTCAGTTTCTGAAATTTAGATGAAAAGAATATTGAGCACTAAAGGAAAAAATGATGTATTTACCTATCAATGTAGGTTCTCTGCTCACAGATTCATTTCCTATGAAACAGAACAGAGGCAAGCTTGGGGAGTTACAAAGGAAGGAAAAATCCTAATCAAATAGAAACTGTTGTTCAAACAGAATATTAGCTAAAATGATCCAATCAGGTGCTTGAGCCAAATTTTTTTTCTTTAAGCCATTCATGCCCAGAACACAGCATCTCAGAGCATTAAGAATCCATATGACGTTCCAAGTGTCAGCCCAACAGATGGGGGATTTGAGAGATACATTCCATGGAAATGGGATGAGAACAAAGAAGGTTACCAGTTAGTCACCTGTATTAACACAATTTACTCATAATGGGGCCACATTTCTCAAGGTAAACATTATGTATTTGTATTCCTGGGCATGTGTGCCTGTTATAGGAATCGACCCAAAATATAGTAAGTTCTAATCACCAGATCTCTGACTTCACTATTGTTCAGGATTATAGCATGGAATGCAGCGTAACATGCAGAAATTCTCCTGAAAATAAGAGTACGAAAAGCACACCTTCATGGAATGAGTTGGACACTAAGCTTTGTTTTCCTATTTCTACAATGACTTCAGATGATCGGCAGTTCATGTGGGCCATAACTGACACAGCGCTAGGTCTTCAATTAAAACAAAATCCGTGCCTCTCACTGTAAAACATGTAAAACCCAGCAGCCTGCGGTACGCCCATTCAAAATCCTACGATAGATCAACCCAATCTTTTGCTGACCAAAACAGAGCAATACAATTCTCTAAACCCTGTAGAGGGAAATCTAAGAAACACTCACGTGTACAGAGATACGCACCCCAGTTTCTAAACACACACACACACACACACACACTCTTCTCCTGGTTTCTATGTGGCAATTAAACGTAATTCTATTTTATTCCATATTAACATTCTAAGTCTAAAATATAAAAAAAAAAAACCAAGAATTACAGAGGTTACCAAGGACATTAACTTGTTCTTAGAATAAGCACAAAATTAATAACAATTGTACTATTATGCTTGTGTGTGCTTTACAGTACTCTGCCCAACAAAGGAAACTGAGATTCTGACTCCAGCCACTGTAGACCTCTTTACGTTGAATTAGCGGTGTGAACACTGCACTTCTCCTCCTGAAATCTGCAGTTTCTGTGAAGTTTATGGGAACACCAAAGAAAGTTTAACCAGGGAAAGGAGAAAAATACGTCCATTCCTATTCCTATTTTTATAATTAACTGAGGTCAGGGCTTCGCTCCAAGATGCCCTCAAATGATCTCTATTAACTGTATCCAGTGGCCTGTTCCCTTCCCTGAACCCTGTGTTGAGAAAAGATTTTAAGTGCATTTTCATTTCTATTTCCAATATGAAGCTGGAAACAAATCAGTTTGCACCCCAGAAGAATGCCAAGAAAGGCTTAAATCAATCTGCACCTTTTTATTTATATCCCCCATTCCTTAGAAATGTAATTGCCATTTTTATTAACTTTGTTTTATGGATCTAATATTTACGAACAAGTCTGTCTTTTATGTCACACAAGAAGGTTAATGCACTTACAGACTCCCCCGCAATACATCTCGGGCAAGGCTGGGCCAAGCTCCCTCCACCGTTGTGAGGAATCTAGTCAACAAATCAGAGCCGCAGACGCATCAGAACAGGGACTATTTACACTTTTTATTAAAATATTTAAATGGGTCACAGCTGGCTTGGTGGGAACGGGAACCTACCCCGACACGTGGCTGCCCCTCACCACTCCAGGACACCGGGGCGCTGAGGTTTGTGGGGGGGGCAGGCCCACTCCGGCCCGGCCGCTTCTCCTCTCCTGCATGCCCGTTTCTGAAAGACACGAAGCGTCACTCGAGGCGGCTCCGGGAGCGCGGGGCGCTAACTGGCTCCGCCTTCTGCGGACTTCGGTGGCAAACACAGACCCCTGCGCACTTGCAGGGCTTACAGGGCGTCTGAGGGGTGATTTTAAACATCGTCTTTCAGGAACACGTTCCATCGATTACATTTAACTTCATTATTTCTAGCACTGTTTGGTGTTTACTTGGCTTTATGGATTTAAAATAGACATTTTAAACAATTTTGGTCAAAGCTCTTATAATAAACTCTTGTGACTGGTTTATTGATATTGAAAATATACAAAATCTATCCATTTTGATCTGGAAACTAGTTACATGCTTTAACACATTTTGCCTAGTTCCGAGTTCCATACTTTCCTAATACAATATGAATGATTCACAGGAGGATAATTCTTTGTTTCACTGACACTGAAGAGCAAATTACTTTTACTTATTTTCAGGTTGCACACATGCTCTGTAACTGACAACCTCCGGGAAAGTCAGCATTTGGTTTTTGCTTCCCCATGAACTAAAGAAGATAAATTACAAAAGCAATCCTCTAACACTAAAGGAAAAAAAAATATTCACTCTCAAAATCCCAAGACTTCGTGCATTTTGTGCACAACTTTGTGAACACAAAGTTGAGAACCATGAAGAGTTTTGCAAAGGGTGGTGAAGTCCATCCCTTATCCCCAGGGCCAGCCTGCAGACTCTGCTGCTGGACAGCTCCCACCAGGTCAGAAAACAAAGCCCTCACACCGGCTCACTCTGCTTCTCTAGTCTCTTGCAAACCATCATCATGGTTTCCACCCAATTTGTTTCTTATCTGTACTATTACTTGTGTTTTCTAAACCGACTTTTTTTTTTTTTAACTCAATGGATTTATTCAATACAGGAGCCTTATATCATGGGTTTACTATTCTCTAACATGTCTTAAAAAATTACAGGGAAATTTTGAAATTAAACCAGAAAATGCTGAACTCTGAGCCCCTCAGCCCACCGAGAAGAATTTCTTGGGTGAGTGCTTGACCTCTGGATGGCTGAAGACAAGACTGGCTACATAGTCACTGACTTCCTTATGGTTCCCCAAATGAAACTACAAATTCTACATCAAACCACACACCGGGCATAATGAAGCCAGAGAACGTGAAATATGAAGAAAAGGGTAGGAGAAAAGCCACCGGGTCCTGGTGGGGGCCACCTAGGCCCCCACCTCACACGTGCTGTCATAAGCTCCAGGGAGCCAGGGCAGAAGGAAAGACCGCAGGACAGAGAGGAGCAGCGAGAAGGATGAAAAGTCCACATGAACATGAAGACGTTCTGACGTGCCCGAGCGCCTGCGTCAGCCCACACGCAGCGTTAAGGGGACAGACACCATTTACAGAGGCATTCCTGGGAAGACAACAGGCAAAAGGGGAAGGGAGAAGCACCTTTTGGCAACTGAGTGGTGAAGCTAAAAGAGGAAGTGGAAAAGCGTGCGGTTGTAGGAGTAAAGAGGAAATAGCATCAGATTCACCCCGGCCCATTCTCACCAAAGCCAAGCAGCTGGCTAACAGCTACCACAGTGTCACCTGCACTTGGCCACACCAAATGAAGAGGCTGCCGCCAGACTTGCGATCTTTTACCAGAGAAACGTCCTCCTGAAAACCACCGCAAGTCAAAAGAAAATTGGAATTTACACTCCCAAAACATAATTAAACATATTCAAACATTTGAGGATATGAAAAACCACCCTGAATTAGAAATGCAGAATTAAAAACAAAAAAGGACAAAAACGGAGAGAGCAAGGGATTGGTAAGTGGACTCAGGATAGTAATGGAAGGAAAATAAAATTACCTCAGAAGTAAGGAATTGATTACAGAGCATCCAAGAAGAATAAATTCAAACAAAATTAACAAAGGGCATTGAGGAAAGACAGGATCACAACCAAGAGGAGGACAGCGATTTAATAACTGGAAAAGGGGAGGAAAGCAAAACAATACAGCAAAGCTAACATTTAACTCTGTAAGAAAATTCCCAGAATAGAAAAAGGCCCAAATCTTCAAAGGAACGGGCTCACAGGGTACCTGGGAAAAATGACTCAGAAGCATCAACTCTGAGACGCCTCCCAATGAAACAAGGAATTTCAAAGGAAAGGACAAAGTCCTCAGGGCCGGAGGGCAACAACCAATGACTCTGCAGAGGAAGCAAGCTGGCAGGCGACTTCTCAGAACCAACACACATGCACCCCAACGAGGCAGCAACATTTTTTTTTAATTCAATTAAAGTATGAACCAAGACTTTTAAATCTAGCCAGCCATCCTTCAATTACCAAGCCCACAGAAATGCAGTCTTTAACAGCATGAATTTGGAGAGGAGGACGCCCAGTCAACCTTTTTGAGGACTCTATGGGAGGGTAAGCTTCACTTGCCCGGGTGATGACTGGGAGCTACAGCAGAAGGATTTAGGAGACACACGTAAAAATACTTAGATGTACATGTTAGGCCAGAATAAAGGTGCAATGAAGCTGAAAGACCCATGTGCAAATATGACACACAGTGACAAAACAGAAGTAATTCAACTAAAAAATATGAGATGAAGAAGAGGTAAAGAGCAAAAACTTTGAGTAATGCACAGGTAATTACCGCATAAGCAACAGGTGTGCACTGAAGAATGTGAGAAAAAAACAAATCAGACAATAAAGAGTTCAACAAAACAGGTTACTAAGGACATAGAAATAGGTTTATATACATAGGTAATGACTAGAAAATACAAATCTCTCTAAATCCAAAATCAAAAATATAAAAGCGAAGAATACAGATCTTATAAAGGAATTGCAAATACAACAAAATATGCAGATTATAAAATATTTGGATAGAGTTGCAAGCAAATCATCAGTCATGTCAATAAATATTAATGGCCTTAATTTACCTATTTAAAGAAAAAGGTTTTTAATTGGGCTCACAGAACAAGACCCAAATGAACCCTGTATACAAGAGGGACACCTAAAATAAAGTCCTTCAGAATGGCCAAAGAGCAAAAGAATGAATGAAGGTAAATGAAACAAAAAGAGAGACATAGGCAAGTAGAATTCAAGTCCCAAAGGGTTAAACACAAGAGGATATATTTAATGTTAAAGCCACAGTTTGCAATGAAGACAGTAATACTCATGAACATCTATACAACCAAGTCACACAACCACCACCTTGGGAGGGCCCGTGTGGCTCAGTCTGTGATCTCAGGGTCCTGGGATGAAGCCCCACGTCGGGCTCCCTGCTCAGTGGGGAATCTGCTTCTCCCTCTCCCTCTATGCTTTCCCTCTTTCTTTCTCTCAAATAAATAAAATCTAAAAAACAAAACAAAACAAAAAAAAACCACCACCTTTACAAAGCAAAGGTGACAGGATATGCAAGGAGAGGCACGTAGGCATGGACGAAAAACAGGAGCTCAAATACACCATCTCCATTCAAGGCAGAGCAAGTGCACGAGGAAGAAGTATGAAGACAGATGGAAGCAACAGCAACAACCGAGGCAGAGCTTATAATATACAGTAAAGTCCATACCCTGATAATATAGAAAACATATTTTTCTCAAGAATCTATAGCACATTCCCTACAAATGGTCATATATTAGGTCACAAAGAAAACATCAACCATTTCCATAATGTAGAAATACTCCAAACGCTTTCTGATCACAATGCAATAAAAGTATACATTATAAAAAATAACAAAAAAACCCAGAAAGTCATTTCCACTTGGATATTTAAAAAATCTATTGTTGACATTTACTGAAAGACTAATAAATACAAACTGAAAGTATAGAATTTTAAAAAATAATTACACAGACAAGGATGCCCACTCTCATCACTCTTGTTCAACATAGTATTAGAAGTCCTAGCAACAGCAATCAGACAACAAAGAGAAATAAAAGGTATCCAAATTGGCAATGAAGAAGTCAAACTCTCTCTCTTTGCAGATGACATGATTCTTTATATGGAAAACTCAAAAGACTCCACCCCCAAATTACTAGAACTCATACAGCAATTCAGTAACGTGGCAGGATACAAAGTCAATGTACAGAAATCAATGGCTTTCTTATACACTAACAATGAAAATACAGAAAGGGGAATTAGAGAATCGATTCCATTTACTATAGCACCAAGAACCATAAGATACCTGGGAATAAACCTAACCAAAGAGGTAAAGGATCTGTACTCGAGGAACTACAGAACACTCATGAAAGAAATTGAAGACACAAAAAGATGGAAGACCATTCCATGCTCTTGGATCGGAAGAATAAACATTGTTAAAATGTCTATACTGCCTAGAGCAATCTATACTTTTAATGCTATTCCAATCAAAATTCCACTGGTATTCTTCAAAGAGCTGGAGCAAATAATCCAAAAATTTGTATGGAACCAGAAGAGACCCCGAATCGCTAAGGAAATGTTAAAAAACAAAAATAAAACTGGGGGCATCATGTTACCTGATTTCAAGCTTTACTACAAAGCTGTGATCACCAAGACAGCATGGTACTGGCATAAAAACAGACACACAGACCAGTGGAACAGAGTAGGGAGCCCAGATATGGACCCTCAACTCTATGGTCAGTTAATCTTCGACAAAACAGGAAAAAATATACAGTGGAAAAAAGACAGTCTCTTCAAATGGTGCTGGGAAAACTGGACAGCTATATGTAGAAGAATGAAACTCGACCATTCTCTTACACCGTACACAAAGATAAACTCAAAATGGATAAAAGACCTCAACGTGAGACAGGAATCCATCAGAATCCTAGAGGAGAACATAGGCAATAATCTCTTCGCTATCAGCCGAAGCAACTTCTTTCAAGATATGTCTCCAAAGGCAAAGGAAACAAAAGCGAAAATAAACTTTTGGGACTTCATCAAAATAATTAC